TATAAGTGTTTCAGTAAGAAGGAATCAGAAGGAATATTTTGAAAATTTAGAATTCAGATGGGTGACTTGGGAGAAGGTCTAAGAAAGCAGGGTTTAACTCCGGATTGGATGCTGTTAGAAAGTCAGCAATTGGATATCTCAGTAAATCTTACCTACAGGGAGGGGAAACAAGATTGTGAATAAAGCTGTAATTAGTTAAAAAAAAAGCAGTCATTGGGGAACAAGGAACAAGGCAGGGGTGTTTGGTATTTCCTGTTTTTTCTGTTTCTGGCCAAAATCACAAAGTGGCCTTGTTTTGTCTCTTTATCTCGTCTCAGAGCAGCTTTGTATGTGATTGGTATTCTGTGAAATTGTTTCTCTCACAGTGGGAAAGTCAGTGTCTACTGTGAGCCTAGGGCTACTCTTCTTTTGTAATAGCTACAGTCCAGTCAGTGGTCAGTCTTACAAGTTGGTATGTGTGCAGGTGTCACATTGCCTTGATTGTAACAAGTAAAACTCAAGTTTGGGTTGGGTAGATAGGAAGATGTAAAGGAAATGTTCTCACCAAATGGACAGTCCATACTCCTCATCCGAAGTTGGCCCTTTCGAAGACTAATCCTTTCTTCCTCCTCATACTATGCTTAAGTATTCTGTTGCCTTCTCTGTAGCCTTTTCTGTTGTCTCTAAGTGAGCATTTGGCAATAAGACAAAAACAAGATGACAGTCTATTCTCATGATGAAAGTGATGCTAAATGAGGTTTTCATTCTATTTTGGAAGAAAAATTCTTGTAAGTTTCAGTAATAAATGAGAAAAAAATATTTGATCATGATCCTAAATTCAGGTTTTCTCTGCTCTGGTTCCCACTAAGCATTGTTAAAGATTATTTAATTCTGAACTTTTTTCCTAGAAAATGTATGAACATCTCTTGTTTCTTCCATTTAGAAGTGTCTCCATGATTCTCTACTTGGAGTTATTTGGATCGCTACTTCCTTTTTATTCTTTGCAGAATGATCTGCTGTCACTTTACATGTCAGTATGACAGTGACTAGAAGAAACTTATGAACTATTGGCTGTCATCAATTTGTTGTTTTAAAATTTGGAAATGCCACATGCCAGTGACTGTTACATCAATTATCTATCCATGTACATGTTCATGCAAAAACATGCATGCAAACCATATGCTTCTTGCCATGAGTCTTTATCCTAGGCATTGAAACATGAGAGGAGAGAAGGAAGGTTGGGGCTCAGTCATTGCAGTCCTATAAGCTGGGTTAGAATTCTTGCTCTGCCACTTGCTAGTTATGCATGTCATATTATGTCGGACAATTAATTGATCGCTAAAATTTAAATTCTTCCTCTTTAAAACGTGAGGGTCATACTAACACTTTCCCTTAAGAGCAAAGAGTAACTCGAAGAGAAAAACCTGAGTTAAATGTTCATCACAGTGCTTGTCACAGTTACTACTCACATCATCACTTATTTGTATAGGATAAAGTATTAAATTATAAGATGCTGCTGTTCTTTCTCATGGAATGAGCTGAGGATGTCGCTACCTAGTGAGGTAAATAGGAGGGTGTTGGAAAGTAGGAAGAGCTTGCTACAGAGAAGGCATTGTTTAAATAAGATCTGAGAAGAGTGGGGAACAGGTGGTCCCGGCATTGGGAACATGTCAAGGGTCCCATGTGACAAGGGTCCCATGTGACAGGTTGAAGAGAAAGGGAAGCAGTGGGAATTGTGACTGAAGGGGCAAATGAAGACCAGAGCTCAAGACCCATGTGTTCAGAGCTTAATGCCCGAGTACCTTGACTTTATCCTGAGGAGACTAGGGCTCTAGGTTCATTCTCCATTATCACAACTGGCCTCTGTCCAAGTACTTAAATAATTTCGTCATATGTTGCATAAAGAAAATTGTTTAGACATGTTTATTACAGCATGATTTAAAATTTTATTTATTCATTTTTGCCTTTGGGCATAAAGGTCAGATTTAAATTCTTAAAGGATGTAATGACGATTGTCCATGTGTGCCTTGGTCCCACATGCTTTCTCTTGCTCCCTCGTTCCTTCTGGATCCCTTATCCCATTTTCCTTCCATTTTAAAGACTTTTTAAAAATGTGTTTGAAACATGCTCTTAAATATTCATGCACTCTTATAGAATGAGTATGTAGTTTTATATGCTTTTAACTTACCTTATGGTAACCTAATATACATTTCTTTCTGCATCTTTATTTCTCTTGCTATAAATCATCAGTGTTGCTAAATGTGTACCTAGTTCATGCATTTCCCATATAGTATAGGTTGTAGTATTACTTATATTAACTGTTGAAATACCTAAATATTGGAATGGTTTTGCAGAGAATGGTTAATTAACTTTGGTACATGTTAATTTAGTAGTGTTAAATATGCTTCATTAGCAGTAATAGTGCTGGCCATTATGGGAACAATGTTTGACAACATTAAGGGAAAAAGCACAACCACATAAATATTCCTAAGGCAAAGGGATCTCAAAGGTCAGAGAAAAATGAAAACAGCTTGTATATCTGGCCAAGGGAATTATGGATAAAAATTCTCTTGTAGCTTTAATGATTATGGCATGTCTGGAGATCTGGCCTATGCACCACAGGTAATGTAATTTTAGTGGAGAGAAGAGAACAGAGCACTAGTCTGCTGTGTGCCTGGGATCTGGGTGCCCCTTCTCAATGAGGGGGGCCTTCTCTTCCAGGTGTGTCCTGCACTCAACTTCAGCTGCCTAGAAATAGAACTGCAATTAATTTTTTTTCAGAAGGTTTAGATCAAGTACTGTGGAATTTATCTTTAAGATTAAACAGGAAAAGGACGTGCATAAGTCAAATCTATGAGCCTTCATTTTGTACCAAAAAAAAAAAAAAGACACTTGAACTTGTATGTACATGGAAAAATTCTGTAAGAATAAGAAACTGTTAATAATAATTGCCCCTGGGGAGCAGGTACGGGGGTGTGGGGTGAGCAGGAGGCATATTTGTTCTTAAACGAATGTGAAATATTTATGTTTTTAAAACCATGTGTCAAGCATCACTTTTTCAGTGAGTTTAAAGCCTCAAATTTCACAACCTCACGTCTTAAACATTGCTTTTAAAATGCCTCATTTTTAACACACTACCGTGTCTTCCAAAATAACATTCATATTGTGAGTCTCAAACCGTGCACCTCTTTAGTGGTGGGGACGAAGCCCAACCTGAGGACTGCTTACGAGAGTGAGGAAGCACAAAAATCATTGTCCCGCTAATTCCAACGCAGACTAGCACTGAAGTTCCAGAAGCAGCGCCGCCTAAACGTGACACCAGGATTCCGGAGTGATCAGCTTAACAGGGGACTCGCTCCAGGCTGCTCCCTTCGAGCTAGGTGTGAGCGCGTCCGCCCGATCTTCTGGTCTGGTGGGTGCCGTCGTCCCTGGGGCCTCACTGCCCCGGGACTGGCCTCGTGCAGTCTCCCCCTTGGCAGTCCTTCGGCCGCGTCACCACGTCGCGGGGGTATCCGCCGGGCGTGGGGC